CTTTCCCTGTTTCTTCAGAGCATTTTCTTTTGCCTCGATTTCCCTTGCCTGCCTGTTCTTTGAACCTGGCTTTCCCACACTTCCCTTCCCTTATATTTGCTTTTAGCAAATCCTGCATCCTGAGTTTCCTCTCTGTCTTCCCACGCTCTGATATTTACACCGGAACTTACACTCCCCCAGCTCTAATCTGATCCTCATGGAACAGCAGGTTCACTTAATCACTGGCTCAAAAATTGCAAACACATTTTATTAGACTTATCTACTCTTAATAATACAGTAGCACACTACAGTACCATTTAGAACCAACTACTATTGCTAACCCAGCTGACTCCTAGTTTCTTTATAGTGAAATAAAGTGAAGGGAAAGACATATATATGTTTTCACTTCATAAACCAAAAAGAACACAGCGCAGGACTTGTTAACTATGATTCTCCAAAGGAACGTGCAATTACACACATAAAGGCACTCCAAGAGCTAGGAGCTCTATCTGTGAACAGAAAAATGCTGTACCCAGAAGTTGAAATTCTGAAGTTTGTGCATTAAGAACATAATGCACTGTGGCTAGACAGGATCATACTGCTTTTCTGAATGGATTTCTTATGGGAGTAACAGAAGTGGAATATTTTTATTTTTTTTTGTAACAGTATCATTAAGCAAGAACTGCATTTTAAAGAGCAAGCATGAAATGTCCTGAGGAAGGCTGATGAGAAGCAAGTGACAGAACAAGGGAAGGGTTTTGAGTGCTGATTTACATGAAATCCCACTAGCATCTCATAACTACTGGTTCCTTATGCTTTGGGAAGTTTACATCTCTTCCCTGCACCCCTCATCCCCATTCTACTGGAGCCTGATCATTCTGTCACTCCCCTTTTTCAAATGTACTTAGCAAACAGATGTAGCTGGTCATTACAGGTGCTTTCTCATAACCCTGAAAATTGCAAGATTTGCTGTTTCCCCTTTCTTCTTCAAAATGTTTAAATTCCAAACCAGTTCTGTGGAGGAACAGGCTTTCACAGTGAATAACATCTTTTGATTCACCTTCTACTATTCCAGCTGCAGTTCATGTTAAGCTTTCCTTAGGGAAGTTGCATCTAGGTACAGAGACCACAGCCACAATGAATGGAAAAAGAAAGTAGACTAGAATTTAACTACATAAGCAAAACCAAAATCAATCATGAAATTAAATTAAAGCAAATTACTACAAAATCAGATAATAGTGAAATCCATCTAGAACTATTTCCAGGCAGAAAATCTGTTGAAAGTGTAGTACCAAGAAGAAAATCTAGGCTATCACTACCTTGGGATAGTGCACCATTTCAAAACAACTTTGAGTTTTATTTGCCTGTCATTCTGATAAAGAAAACAATGTATTCATCACAGGCTCCACCTAACGCATCATTTTTCATCTGCATAAATGTTAAGACATATTTAGCTACACATTTCTCAAAGTATTTTCTGATGTATGCCATTTTCCCCCTCTAAGAAAGCCCCGAAAACCAAGTTGGAAAGATCATGGAGGCATACAACTCAAAACTAATAAGCTTCACCGGTTCTGTGGCATCTCAATTTATGTCTAAGTCTGAAATCCCAAAACATAAACATATATGTGCAAGAATACATACGAACTCACATGGAGTACAAGTTAAAGTCATACAAAGCCTTCACCAGACTCCTGCATTTTAGGCATTCAGGAGTTGTGGTATTAGTTCTAATGAAAACCAGCTTAATGATAAGAGAATTTAACCACTTTGGTCTCAATTTCTTTCTTCCTGGTTACATGAGTTACATGGTAATGCAACGGGGTTACATAGCTGTATAAGGTGAGGTTGACACAAGGCAAAGATTAAATAACTTACAAAAGTTACCTAAAACGTAGCTTTAACATAATTCTCTATTTTTCATAGTTTATAATATGGCTGGACTGGTCTTAAATTTTGTATGAAATGTTTCCTACCGGGCACAGCTTTATTTCCACAATCTGAAAAGAATCCATTCAGCTGTATGAAGATACAGAAATGTAATTTTCAAAACCTGTTTATCAGACACTGGCACTTTTCCTGCTTGTGTAATTCAAAAAGGATCTCGGTAAAGAAAATTCAATTTGGCAATCCATTAACATAGATTTGATGCTCTCTCTGTTCATCTCTTGATGTCTCACCCCTTTCAGAAAAATGAAAATAACTCATGGTAAAAGAATGGTTGTTCCCTCTTATTTGTCCAGTATTATATTGGCAATTATTAAAACCCTGGAAAAGCTGCTGAAGCTCTGCTGACTCATGGTGGCAGAGAAGTTACTTGTTAACTCCACATGAATATGGAGAAGGGAGGGAAGACAAAAAGAGGAAAAGTCAGAGAGTAGACAAAGTTTGGGCAGAAGGCACAGACCGAGCTGGTATATTGAGTAGCACCAGCTCTTATGGAGAAAGAATTTGTACATTATCTGAAGCTTTACATGCTGTGTTTGAACCAGGTGAAGATGCAGACCTAATTTCATGTCATCTAAGTTTAGGAACCTAATTGAGCCATGTCAATAAAGAGTTTACTTCTCACAGGCATCCTCTACTGCCAACAGAGGAACAGCAGCAGTTCTAAGAGGCAAATTGGCTTACCAAAGGTCTCAATTGTCTTCTGAAACTGCCAATCCTGCTCCATCAAGTACAGAGAAACCCCAAAGCAGTGACAGAAAACGCCTAACAAATGCACCAGGACAGACATGTGACAGCATGTCAGCAGAACAGCTGTCCACACTATCACTGCTCCCAGGGCGGTGTGCAGTTTGTTGTTGGGTCCTCAACCCTACAGACAGATCTAAGAGCCAGAAAGAAGCTGTAGTAGAGAATGAAAGATGGTGACAGTGACAGAGATTAATGGAGTTAACCCTTTCCATCTCCACAGATCTGACCCAAACGGGAGAATTTTCACAGGATGTGCCTTGATGCAGGTATGAATTTCTGACTCACATGAAAGATGTTTACATCTGTTAGCCAGGGGTGACAGTGTTCCTAATTTAGGCACTACAGATAGGTGTGTTAATACTAGTGGGATTACTCTAAGCCTGAAGTCATTCACAGACTAAATACCAAGCAATGCTGGCATTTTAATGTGTGGAAAATTTCAGGTTTCACCTCATTTTAAGTTCTATGCTCACAGCAGTGAATAATAAGGGAAAAGTCAAAGCACATTACTCCAAGGGGTAAGGATTCTGCCTCAGAAAGGAAAAGCAGTTCTCAGAGCTGTCTGGTTGCATTTGAGGGACTGTAATCTGCACTCCTCTTTTAACCAGCAGCACACTTCTCTTCAGGCTCTAGCCTATTCTTGCACAACAAAGAGCCATGATTTTATACTTCCCCACCATCATCTCTGATCACATATTTCTTGGTGAAGGAGGACTACCAGCATGGTGCACTTGCTGTAATGCCATCTTACCTTTGCTCTACACAGACAAGAGAATGTGTCCTTTCTCTACTGCATGCAGGAAAGAAGGGAAGAGTAAGGAAAGAGAAGGCAGCTCTTTATGTGATGTTTAAGGACTGCCCAGAGTCACACATCTAAAAAAACCCTCTGCATATTGTACCTTCACATAAAATCCTGTACACATCATAAGTTATTGTAAAAACAGTTCACCTGATTAAGGTACTACACCAAGCTGCTTAGTCCCTATATTGTAAGGATTATGGAAGTCTGTGTTTGAAGTGTTAGTGTTGTGGAACGAACTGACAGCAAGTTGGGAAATAAATGAGCACAATACTGCCTTCTAACCTCTTGGCACTGTGCCTTTTAACAGAGAAGAAAAAAGCAAAAAGGCAAAATGTCAGCTCCAAAACATTTTTCATGTTGTAAAATATAGTGTCCCCACAGAAACTCTTGATAAGAGACACACTGCAAGGGCTGATACTTCACTAAAAAAGAGTGAGTTATTGCAAAAAGGTTATGTGGACACATCAAATGCAGTAAGGAAAAAAAAAATCCACAACAACCCTTAGGAGTGAAAATTTTTATCTATGTCCTACCAATGTCATGCTAGCCCTTCAGACAAAAGTCTCGGCAGTGGATGCTGAGCTATTAACTTCAAGAATGCAAAACAGCTTTCACAAACAGCAGAAGAGACTGAGAGGATGCGGACCTTTCAGCACACCTCACTCGTTTACATCGATGCTGCCCATTCTGCTTCTATTAGTCACTGTGAACACTCACTCTTCCCAGCAGAGCTTACTCATTTGCAGGATAAAAGGCAGGCATTTCTGCACATGCCCATAATATTCTTCACCACTGGGGGCAGCTTTACATAAGACTGCATTCGCCGAAACCAAAGCAACAGTCGGACGGAGCTTTCAGAATGACAGTATGCAGAAGTGAGCAGAGCTTGTTCGTTGTACGGGCTTATTCTACCTTCTATGCTACAAAGCAGCTTCCTAGCCGGACCGGGTACTAAGTGAGGGGACTGCTGTGCTATGGAATACAGATGTGTGAATTCAGATAGCTAAATGGTGCTTGGAGGAATTTAACATGCTTTCCTATAAAATGGTATTTTAAAAGCCAGGTTCCTGACTAAAGATGCAAAAACGTAATATCCATGAAGATCCTATTACCTAGGAAGAATTTGACATTTTTCTGTGAATGCTGTGTTGGGATTGATTTATTCTTGGAGTATACTACATGGCCGGCAAAGAATAATGTTCCAAAATCGGTCCATCTCCCAAGGGGTCCAATTTTTCTTCCCGGGTGTCAGTGAGCCCTGACTCACTACAGTGCAGCTGACAGGGGCTGCCATGCTTGTGGCACACTAAGCAAAAAACAAAAGACCTAAGGACGACCTTTGAACAACACAAAGGATGGGTATGTTTTTCATGTTATTTTTTTAATGTATAGTTCATAGTCACTGCATAGCCTCTGCTTTAATTACTCCATAGACTTACCTTGATATGATTTGTTATTACAGTTAAATTGATTAGGGATTACATCTTTTACCCAGCTGTTTTTCAGTATTTATATAAAGGTATTCTTTTTAAAAAAACTGAGTAAAGAAAGCAATGTGAAAAGTGGTTAAGTCGAGCTAGGGATTTTTAAATGATTATTGAAATAAAAGATTTTAGCATGATTGAAAGAAATGACTGATGTGTGGGGGGATAACTTTTCTAAGTTGTTTTTATTTCCAGGTTTCAATGTAATTAGGCTACTGAGCGGATCAGCTGTAGCTCTGGTAATAGCCCCTACTGTATTACTGACAATGCTTTCTTCTGCTGAACGAGGATGCCCTAAGGGCTGTAGGTGTGAAGGCAAAATGGTATATTGTGAATCTCAGAAATTGCAGGAGATTCCCTCAAGTATATCTGCTGGTTGTTTAGGTTTGTCCCTTCGATATAACAGCCTCCAAAAACTAAAATACAATCAATTTAAAGGTCTTAATCAACTCACCTGGCTCTATTTAGACCATAACCACATCAGCAATATTGACGAAAATGCTTTCAGTGGAATACGCAGACTAAAAGAGTTGATCTTGAGTTCCAACAGAATCTCCTATTTTCTTAATAATACCTTCAGACCTGTGACAAATCTCCGGAATTTGGATCTGTCATACAATCAGCTGCAGTCTCTGGGATCTGAACAGTTCAGGGGCTTAAGGAAGCTGCTGAGTTTACATTTGCGGTCCAATTCCCTAAGAACCATCCCTGTTCGAATATTTCAAGATTGTAGAAACCTTGAACTGTTGGACCTGGGTTATAATCGCATCCGAAGTTTAGCAAGGAATGTCTTTGCAGGCATGATCAGACTGAAAGAGCTGCATCTGGAGCACAATCAATTTTCTAAGCTCAACCTGGCACTTTTTCCGAGGCTAGTCAGCCTTCAAAACCTTTATTTACAGTGGAATAAAATCAGTGTGATAGGACAAACTATGTCCTGGACCTGGAGCTCATTACAAAGACTTGATTTATCTGGCAATGAAATAGAAGCTTTCAGCGGACCTAGTGTTTTTCAGTGTGTGCCCAATTTACAGCGCCTCAACCTGGATTCAAACAAGCTCACGTTTATTGGTCAAGAAATTTTGGATTCTTGGATATCCCTCAATGACATCAGCCTTACTGGGAATATATGGGAATGCAGCAGAAACATTTGCTCCCTGGTAAACTGGCTTAAAAGTTTTAAAGGGCTGAGGGAAAATACAATTATTTGTGCCAGCCCCAAAGAGCTGCAAGGGGTAAATGTTATTGACGCAGTGAAAAACTACAGCATCTGTGGCAAAAGTACTACAGAAAGGTTTGAACTAGCACGAGCTCTCCCAAAGCCAACGTTTAAACCAAAACTCACCAGGCCTAAACATGACAGCAAGCCCCCTCTGCCCCCGACTATTGGAGCCACTGAATCCAGCTCCGAACCTGAGCACGACACAGAACATATCTCCTTCCATAAAATCATAGCAGGCAGCGTAGCCCTTTTCTTGTCTGTACTTGTGATCCTGCTGGTAATCTATGTGTCATGGAAGCGTTACCCAGCCAGTATGAAGCAGCTGCAGCAGCGCTCCCTCATGCGAAGGCACAGGAAAAAGAAAAGACAGTCACTGAAGCAAATGACTCCAAGCACACAGGAATTTTATGTAGATTACAAACCTACCAACACTGAAACCAGTGAGATGCTGCTGAATGGAACAGGACCCTGCACGTATAACAAATCAGGCTCCAGGGAATGTGAGGTATGAACCATTGTGATAAAAGAGCTTTTAAAAGCTGGGAAATAGTGGTGCTTTATTGAACTCTAGGGACTATAAAGGGAACGTTTTTCTCACTTTTCTGGCACAGCTCTTCCATGTCTCTCTTTTGTACATTCATAGTACTGGTCATTTTACTCTCATACATAATCAACTCATTGAAATTTAAATACCGCAATCAATGTGAAGCCTGAGCTCTGGTTTAATACAATACCTATTGTACAAACCCTCTCCTGATTTCATTAAAGTCTCTCTTGTTTTTAAATAGAAAACTTCTTTTATAAGTAATCCACTGCACCTGCAGCAACTGTGCCTCTATGTAGGGAGAAAAATTACAACAATGGGGGGTGGTGGTGATCAAGCTCAGCTGTTCCCCTTTCC